TGAATGTGTGTTAATTAAAAAAATAATACTTTCTAAAAAATGAGATAATCATATAATACTCCATCCAACTTAATTTAAATGCAGTTTTCTTCAAATATAACTTAAAAGTACATAATTTAGAAAAGAATATCTAGCTGAATAATAAATCCTCCTATTTGTTTTGATTCTATAATTTCGCGGATTTTTTTAATTAAAAAAAATCAATCAGAGTTTTTATACAAGTCATATCTGTATAGTTTCTAGTTCTGTCTTTTATAAAATTTGATGTAAAATAATACCGAATAAAATCATTTTTTTTTTAAAAAAAAGTTATGTCCTTATCTTTTAAATACATAAAGTAAAAATTCGGGAGAAAAACAAACTGTGGCTGTACAAAAATTAAAAAAAAATTATTTCAAAAACTAATAAGTACAACAAAGTTAAATTGTTTAAATGTACCATAGAGAAAGAAATATAAAGATAAAAAGAGAAAAGAATTGAAAAAAAGAGAGAAAATGATTTTGAGAAAAAAAGGAAAGGAAAAAGAGTCGAGGGAAACGTGGAAGGGAGAGAATGAGAGAGATTTTAAAAAGAGGCAAAAACAGGAAAATTCAAATTATCACATAACGACAATGAATGTTGTTTCATTTTCATGCTGCATTTGAAAAAATATATATATATATAAATTATAAGAATATACGACTGAGACTGTAGACATTTAAGAGTTTATGAATTCTAACTAGCAGTACATTTGCACGAATCATATTTAAATGGATAAATTAGTATTTTAACGTAGAAATAATTCTGAATTTCAGCTTTAGTTGATGTTTAATAGAAAAATTTAAGGGGACACTTTTGAGGACCACTCATCCGGTATAGGGGTTAGTGGCGCTGATTGAGGTGCTGTAGGGCCTGGGTTCGAATCCCGGAGAAGACATGGATGTTTGTAATTGTACACTGCCTGCGCTGCATGGGAGTACTTTAAATAGCCATCGATCCGCAAGTCCTCTCGTGAGGCTGGTGGAAGAGGAGGAAGGCTCTTGACCACCCCCAGGGTGTTCTTCCTACTGTCACCTGCATGGTGCTCAAAGCTAGGACTAACGACAGGCATAAAAATCTAGCAATCAACCGCGATGAATTTTGTGGAACTTGATCTGATGTTACAGTCGATCAGGTGTCATAAGAAGCAACAACAACAATAGCAAACATTTTTGAATAATTTGTTGAAAAAACGTTTATATAGTTTTAAGAAATCTTTCACGTAACCCCAGTGCGTGTGCAATACAAGACTTTTTTGTAATAAATTGAGGATCATCGAATAAGAAACATTTAATCAACATTTGTAAGCAACATTTAATCAACTAAATAATTAGTAATTGTAGATTGATGAAAAAGAAGTTAATACTGTGTTTTCATTGGAAAAAATTCATACATATTTGAAATAAACACTTATCAGGAAAATGATATGAATAAGTTTGGGGAGTTACAAGCATAAATATATGGCACCAATCTTTTTGTTCTAATTAAACTTATATCAAATTTTTTAATATTCCTTAAATGCTATAAAAGTAGAAAATAAAAACTAAGCAATGAATGAAAACGCAAGAAATATCGGGCATAGTTTTTTTATAAAAGAATTTTTCGAAGTTTACGTATATATAATCAACAATCATGTACAGTCGGACCCCGATGTAACGAATTCATATGGATCGAACATTTTATTCGTTAATACGGGGTGATTCGTTATATTGGGGTACAAACAAAATACAAATTTTTTGCACTTACCTTTTGTTAATTATATAAGTAACTACACAAGAAATATCCAGTTAGAAATTACACCCTTTTTCTTCAACAGCTAAGTATATTATTGGTGAATTATTAAGTACCATTTAATTGGAAATTTTAAAATACTGACTAATAAATGTTTGAATATCTTTTTGATTTTTGACTTGAAAAAGTTACTTTTCTACTTCATGCAGAGAATAAAATACTGCATCATTTACATCCTACTGCATAAGGTACTTTTCACGGTTTAAAAAGAATGTAAGGCTTAAAAAATTATAACAATTTTGATAGTTTCATTATTAATTTCCGCATTAGAATTGCTATTCATTAGCTCAAATCAACAATTCCCTCAATTTCAGTTGAACATATATAGGTAGTCCGTTATCAAATGAATCACAATCGTTAAAATCTTAAGATATTCCTTGCGTTGAGGATTCAAATGAGACATCAAATTTCTTGCCCTACACAAGGCTCCCACGATAAGTTACACTCAAAACTCATTTACACTCAAACTCATTGCACTCATTATTAAACTGTCAAGTCTAATAATGGTCGTCTCCCTTTCCCTTTGAAATTTGTTGCGAACACGAAAAGTATTTTTTCTGTTCCGGAAAAAACAATACGTCATTTGAAAAAAAAAATCAAATTTTTTTATAATACAATCTATAAATTAGTAAAAAAATATTCAGCTACTTAAATAATTAGTTAATGCGGGGTTTATTATTCGTTAAATAGGGGCTGTGCCTTCGTTTTAATCGGGGAAAAGAAAATTCGTTATATCGTGCAATTCTTTAAATAGGGGCTCGTTAAATCAGGGTCCGACTGTACTAAATTGTCATAAATCTAAAAAAGCGCGTACTAATTTTATCCCGATTGCTAGAAACGTATATTAAGTCCGAAAAATATATTAAAGAAAGACTTCATTACGTATAAAAAATTTAAAAAAGTAGAAAAACATTCACTTTTATTTTAAATAGCAATATATATTGCATTCAGAAATCTCACTCTATCAAATTATAAGTGCTTATTAAAATACGAGTCAGAAAGACAGTGTATGATTTATTAAATATGATTATTGAGGAACAAAAATTATTAAAATATTATTATACAAAATTATGTTTTTTAAATTGAATACAATTAATTTATTAAAATATGTATGTTCGAAAAAATATTTTTTAAAATATAAAACACAATAAATCTTTTCTAATATTAGAATTTTCTTAAAGTTTACTTTTAGAATTTTTTTAATTTTAAACGTTTTTATTTTAGAGAGTATAAGAAATTTTTTTTACTCATTTGACTCATTTTTAGAATTCAGTGATTTCGTTTAAATACTGTGTTCTGTTTCTAAAAATTTTTCTGGAAATATGCAAATATAGTTAATTTGTTTTTAAGATGAAAGTAATGATTTAAAGATTTCTCCTTGTGCTCAAAAGAAAAAAAAATAACTGAAAAGAGTAAAATAATTAAAAACGTATTAAAAAAATATGTTTACAACAAGAATATTTTGGAACAAAAAATTTATTAACTTTTTTTCTTAACTTTTTTTCTTAACTCATTTTTGTGAAAAAAATAAAAAGGATTGTGGTTTATTTTTAACAAAAGAGAAAAATTATACTTTCTTCTTACTTTTGATATTTTTATAACCTTTTAAGCATAATTTTAAATTGATCAATAGTTAAAAATCTCACTGTATTAATTGCAAATAAATTTTAATGTAAATCATTATTAATAAATAAGAATTATATTAAAATTTTTACTGTTGAAAAACTCAATTGTTCAATAGTTTACATTCTTATTTCCAATGAAAACATAAAATTGATTGCATATTAACATCGCACTCAGGCTGGGGCACTAGGCCTATCCACAAAAATTTGAACCTTCGTCAAGTAATGAGGACGACACCTGAACTGGCATCCCACTCTTCTTACTTTTGATATTTTTATAATCTTTTAAATTTACAACTAAAAACGGATTAATATATAAAAATCTGAAGGAGTTAAAGAAAAATAAACTCCAATGTAAAACATTATTAACAATGAAGATAATGTTAAAATTATTATTGACTAAAAAGAGTTTTATTGTTCATTAATTATTAAACTAAAAGGATAGAAGTATTTCAATTTAATGCCTAATTTAAATTTGGAGTTAGATTTATATTCCTTTTATTTATTTATTTTTTTTTTCACTGTGCTTTTCATTAGCTTATATTTTAATTCCGATGAAAAAATAAAGTTGATTATGCATTTACACAGCATTCAGAGACTTTACTATTGCTTTTGGAAACAGTTAGTCTGAGTGAGTGAATATTAACGTCGCACTGTTAAGCTACATGGGAACTTTTAGCGACGGACCATGTAATTTTGAACTATGGTCAAGTGACGTGGACGCCACCCCCCTCTCCTAACTACCACACCGACGGAAGGACGTTTGAGCTTTCGACAGATTTAACAAATCAGTTGTTCAACATTATATGCAGTAATGCGACAAGAAAGAAGGGTGATCTAAGTCAGAATGAGTAAAATGCCTGATGTTCCCCTTCTTGGTGGGTCTTTAGTGGTACGGGGCTCGAACTCGTGACAAGGCCAACCACGATCCGATACCTTGACTACTCGGCTACCGTGACCTTAGTAAGTCTGAACCTCGGTTAAGCGAACAGGACAACATTTGAACTTTCACCCTACTCTCCAAACTTCCGCATCACACTTACGAGAGGATTTATGAAAGCACAAGAAAAAGTTCTCCTGATAAATTTTTGTCGTTATAATTCATTATTTATCTAAAAAAATTTAGTCATTAAAAAAATTCTGACCTTTGTTTTTATCTCGGAAGATATATATATATATATATGAGAAAGTTTATACTTCCTCTTATTAACGTTTAAA